ATCTAGCGTGTGCAGCATATCATTCTCCCCCGAACCATTGCATATCCACCAAGGAGAGGGGGATATCTAGCGTGTGCAGCATATCATTCTCCCCCGAAGCATTGCATATCCACCAAGGAGAGGGGGAAATTTAGCCTGTGCATATCTCCAGGGGATGAAACTAGAGGACAAGTGTGTGCATATCTCCAAGGGCGGGCAGAGGGAAGAGGTCAGGCAGGTCTGATAGTGGTCGGAGTGCGATAGAAGAATGTGCATCCAATGGTGGAAGAGAAGGGGGTAATCTCGGGTCATCCCTACCTGCGCATCCCCCGATTCCCCTTTCCATTCCACTTCTGCTACCCAGCCTCCGTGGTCACCCCGCAGCCACTCTGTGCAAAACTGTTTGATCGACTTTGAGTCTTTGATGCATTCTTGGATTTTTCTGACTTAGAATGCAGGCAAGTCAGTTTTTGTTTCTGAAAAAAACAAATTTATAGTATTTATAGAATTTGATACCCTGTCGACTATCTGCAAAAGAACAGCTACTCTTTCTGTCTCAAGATATTTGTCCTTTTGCTCATATTTCCTTCTGATGGTAATACACGATCTACTATCCTGCCACAAGTAGCTGATTCAGATTCGCCCTCCTGATGAGTTGATGAAACTCCACCGACAAAACAGTCGATCACAGCCCCTTGTTTCTTGTCCTCTTCTCCCTCTCTGCCTACAGTTTACAGTTTTTTTTTTTTTTTTTTTTGGTCCGATGGACCACGGATCAGATATTAAACTGATCAGAACAGATACTACACTTGATCTTAGCCAAAAGGCCGAGACATTACAGTTTACCTTAGGCAGTTCTTTTTCACGATAAAACTCCGACGAAACAGTTTGTCACAGCCCCTCGTTTGTTGTCCTCTTCTCTCTCTCTGCCTGCGGTTTTACCGGGCAGTTCTGTTTGTGACGATATATATGCATATATTACACATATATATAGAGGTCATAGTATCATGCACTTGGCTCTTCCCGATTTGGATGGCTCGTTGTGCGTGGGCCCTTTACTACCAGTGAGTTGTCGAAGGGGCATGTCTGGTATCAGGCGGGGGGGGGGGATACCATTTTTTGTGGTCGAGCAAGCTCGGCAGGGGGGCAGCGTGGGGCCAGTGCTGCCACATGTGGGGGTTGGTTTCTGGTGCAAAATCGTTTGCGGTGTTCACATTCTTCTTGTTCATCGTTGATTCCCTTCTTCTCGCACCTGGCCATCGTATGTATACTGACGTGTAGATGCTGCCAAAACAGCCCCACGTGCTTAGCTGAGAGGAGCTCTTTTTTTTTTTTTTTAAAAAAAAAAAAAAAAAAAAAAGAGGAGGTGTTGCAGACCCACTCCCCCTGAGCAGAGGAAAATGCTGTGCAATTGTTAAAAAAAAATATAAAAAAAATGCTGTGCAGATGAGATCGGGATAATCTGTTGATCTCTTATCAAGATGAGATCGGGATCTGTCGATCTCTTCTTCAAGATGCGAACGGGATCTTTCGATTTCTTTCCTAGTGTCTTCCATCTGAATTCAAACTCGTCTTCTTCCCACTTTGTCATGCCTGCAAACAGCGGTACAGCAACTGGCGACATGCGCCCACACAGTACTCAAGATATCGTAACCAGATATGAGTTCTCTTCAACTGGCTATGGCGACTG